CTTAGGGGATAGTTTTGATTGAAAACTAAGTTTATGCCACTAGATCAATTATAGGGTATTTTCTTCTACATAAGCCATGAGGACCACATAAAACAAATGGGAGTAAAACAATAAGATTCATCAGGGCATGTTAGAGATGGCTTATAGTAATTTTATTATTTCAATACTTCCTCAAAACTTGCTTGGACATATTATTGACTTGTGAGCAAAAATTTTGTCTCAAAAGTTATAAATAGAATAACCTTTTTACAGACAGTGAAGAAAATTGCAACAAGAATAAACAACTCTCTGCAAAGTCGCCTTAAAATTACGACTTATCATACAAAGAAATAATAATAATGCGCATACTCATAGAAAGTTTGTGTTTAAACCATATTACGATTTCAATATTTCATTTAACATAAAGTGTATTTGAATCGGACATTTATCATCATCAATAGTTAAACAACTTCCGATTAAAAAAATGTCATCCACACACATGGCATGTATGTATAATTGTCATAATTCAATTCGACATTTGTATCTCAACTAGACATATATAGATTTAGATCACAAGTAGAGCATGACATGCTGAAGCTACATGAACAGTAGCAGACCGACAATAATCAAATGTCCAATCTAAGTAGTGCTACCGACTGTATATTTTCAGTAGAAGGCTTTGCATTATTTAGACCTACCAATATGCATTGCTGTTGATTCACAGTCAGCATCTTCGCACCATGCAAGGATAACTTGTAGAGCCTGCAGCAGGGAGCACTGTATTCGTAGAAAAAACGATCCTGTTCTTATTGGCTGCCTTTTACTACAGCCTTCACATACCCATTGGACTCTGAAATGTTTTATTACATGTGTTAACCAACTGCAATTGTGCTATTTTACCTCTTTGTATAAGAGTTAAAAATGTTTATGCTTCTCAAGGATTGATTGCGTTGTTAGGTTTTTGCAATATGGAATCGGATAAACATCAGAAAAAATATCTAAAAAGCTGGAAGGAATGTTGTATATAAAATGATTGAAATAATATTTTTGTGAAATAATACTGATTTGTATCTGTGATGCAAACACCAAACACACTACATGACCTCAGATGTAGGTAAGCAAAGAAACGTCACCATACTACATTTTCGTTTGTATTGTGTTTTTCTTTCCCTAATCAATCATATTTTGACTAAAAACTGGACAGTCCACAGCAGTCAATCAGTACGTAAAATTATCGCAAAAGGCAAATGCACATTGTCCAGTTTGGGCACTTGTTCTGAGTTGACATGTCCATACTGTTAGTGGGACATTTTTTTATTATTGCCTATATAAATAAAATAATATTTTTCAAGGCCGTATATACATATTATTGGTTAAACTTAAATACTTTCTAAAAGTTACCTGAAAAGGAAAAAAATTTTTCACATCAAAATTTAGTTACATTTTTTTTCTTTTTCCACAAACAAATTGTGACTACCAAGACTAGTGTAGATCCAAACAAATAGTTTCACATCTAATAGAAGAAATGTTAAATTACGTAAGTAAATTAAACACCTAAAATTCAAAAGTTCCTGAAGTTGCATTTAATAGCTAGTTTCTTCATAATTTTTAACCAACTTCAAAAAAGGAGGAGGTTCTTAATTCAACTGTATTTAAGTTTTTGTGTTAGTGTTACATAATTACTCTAACACTGGTGAACTGATTCCTATATCATTTTTTTGTGGCAAATGCGAGGATGAATCAAGTTTACTGAATTTCACAGACTTGCCGTTAATAGATTTTCATTTTAACAAAGGTGTAATTTCAGCTAAGTTCGGTTTGATGAGGACTTCCATCTTTTGTCATCAGTTATTGTTGCCAATGAAGATAACAAAAGCGGATAAGCAAAGTTTTGAAGTAGTCTTTTTGTGTTTGTTTCAGTAATAACATTCTCACCTATCAACTACTCTCGCAGGCTTACTGACAACAGCGCACTCTGGTTTTGCTGTTAGACATTGTATATTCTTAGGAAGCAATCCGAAACTCTGCATGCGCTCCACAAGTTGAATCTCCAAACATTTTCCATCATTCTTCACTGTTAGATCTTTGTACAACTTGAAGTTGCTAAAATTGGAAAGGTTTTTATTTTTATTATACAAGTGAAGGGACGAGCATGTTATGCATCTGGTGGTAAGAGACACGCCTGCCCTTATGGGCAGGCGTGTCTCAGGTCTTTGCAATTTAATGCTCTGAGTGACACTGCAACTGTTATCAGTTGCAGTGTCACTCAGAGCAAGACCTGAGGGGCACTGCCACTGCGCCTGTCATCCAGAGACATCAGTTGACAAGTCCCATGTGCCTGTAATTTCACCAGCACCCTCATCCCTCAAAACCAAATACAAGGAACTCTATCAAAAATAAACAAACAAGGTGCACATACAAAAAGTAAGTTTTAAATAATCGTATTTCTGATCACTCGGACTTACCCTGGACAAACAGGAAAGGGAAAAGAGACCTTGTCAATCTCTAATCTTGACCTATTATCGACAGTCGTCGAATCTGGCTCCATTTTAAAGGGAAATAAGTGATTTGTTATGTAAAATTACACATCTCCACGTACGACATTGTTATTGCGTATATTAACCCTCTTCAAATTTTAGCACATGAGAATTTACACATTGTAATGGTAATTTTATTTCAAAACAAGTATATATTATATATGTTTAAATGTATTTAATTAAAATTATTTCATGACACACCACAACTTCTTGTCATCGCCATAAACAATATGGAAAGAATGAATGGGATGGATGATATGAATGGTACTATTTATCTGTCATTCTCTAAATAGTGGGAGATTTACATTGACCCAGTGGCAGTGTTCAGGTAGTGTTCAGTGCCAGTCAAGTGCCAGTACCTTTAGCACAGTGTTCAAAGAGTAGGGTAAGGTGTGTAACAATGAACCACCTAAATTTTCAAGAGCTGTAGCTCTCGATATATGGACCTAAATTATACACTTTTTGATTAGAATTATAGGTAATTTTACTGGGCATGATAAAGCAGTACTTCGTTTTTGTCCAAATACAGACGATCCTTCTAAAACCATGTTTTTTTTTAAAATGAGAAATGGTTCACTGTGCACACCCCACGGTACTAATTTATCACTAAGTTGTCAAATGAACCTATCATTGTGTATACCATAAAAGTGGTTCATTCTGCACCACCCCATACTTGCAAAATGTGAGATTATGTAGCAACGTGCCTAAAAACCAGTTACTTAATTTAACTACCTCAATAAAAAGTGCATTGGAAGCTAATCTATTATATCTATTAATATGTGAGCTACTGCTTATACGAGTCAAACGAAACGAAATTCTTCTCGCATGTTTTTATTAGTTTTTTGGTAAAAAATAGAAAACATCGCCGCCCCCAGGCATCTGCGCTAGCTCGATGTAGACTAGGAAGAGATAGGGTGCGTATAGTAGAAGCTCACCTGGTGCGATTTGCACCAAATTCCAATATTGCGTTTCTGGGTTATATATATTGTACACTTGGTTCACTGTCGACCCCTACATTAAACATTTTAAAACTGTCGTAAAAACCTACAACATGGTCCCGGAAAAATCTACAAAATGTCGCTTTCTACAAAACACCGACGAATTAAACATTTCTGGGGAACACAACAAAAAATTAAAATCGGTAGTAAAATAATAACGCACAACAAAATTTGTTAGGTAATTGTAAATAGTAACTGCCAGACAGATTAGCTTAAAATCGGTGGCAACGCGTAATATGCTACAATGCGATTGAAGGTCAAACAAATTGTATACCTATTTAAATATCAGATGTGTGTAGATATGGAAGAAGTTATTTTTACCGTTTAATTTTTTAGTGTGTGCGGGGCCACGAAAAGGATCAGACGATTGCAACGACGGCAAAAATAATGAGAATTCTAAATTATCTTAATCATAAATCATTGTTAGTGATTACTCAAAATGTTAAAAGGTACGTACAAAAAAATTGTGTCTAGTTGTTTCGTGTTGTTGATTCTTTCTAGTGTTTCAAACTCAAATTGATAATACACTTTAATAATGTTTTTTTTTTATAACGATTAGATAGCTTTGAAAAACAATTGCATGTTCCTTAAACAAATATTTTATTACGACAAAGTCGTTTGGTTTATACCTACCATATCAAATTTACGATTGGGCGAAATATTTTTGCTCTTACTAATTTATTTTTTATTCGCTGACAGTTTAAAAAAACGAACATTATCGACAGCCTTGGAACAACCAAAGCCTTACAGTGCAATCCCTGGTTTAGGCCCTTTGCCAATCATAGGCGGTTTACATCACTTTCTGCCTGTAATAGGTTTGTACTCTCCACTCATTCTTTGCCTTACTTGGCACTCTACTGGTCGTATTCCAGAACTCTACTCAATGCTCAAGTCAGGATCTGATTATGATTTCAAGCTCTGGAAATACGACCCTAATGGCAGGGACTTGAGTATGATTTCTAGTGCTTTGAATCATACTCAAGTCCTGACTTGAGCATTGAGTATAGTTCTAGAATACGACCCTACATTTTGCTCACTTAATGGCATCATGCTCAATGTTGATAATAATATTATGTGGTAGGTATAGCGAATGCGCGACTTCATCATACAGACGAGTATATTCCCCGTCTACTTCCAAATTTTACTTTTGCTATATCATGAAAAGTTGTAATACATAATATATGCATGTATACTCTAAAGTAATTTCAAATTGGTTCAGTACGAACAAAACTGTTGACAGATTGTTGGAATCTCTTACGCATTAATTAAGCAAAATTGACCAAAGTTAGCTACTAATTTGTCTAATAACATGGATTCACGAAAAATTTGTTAGGAAATATAGATAATTACCATCGTTAAAAAATTTTAGGAAAAATTGGCTTACCAGAAAACTTTGCCGCCATGACTGGAAAGTTACATAAAGAGTATGGACCCATAGTCAGGGTAGAACGTTTATTTCCTAACATTGCGGATATGGTGATGCTGTTTGAACCAGACCATTTTGATCAGGTAAGGATCTAATTGGATCTACACGTCTTACTAAAGAATAAACGTAAGTGCTACCTGTCATGTTAGATATAAGGACCTGAGGCCTTGCCTAGATAAGTAATGAGACAAAAATACCTCCAAAGATTCCACTGAGCCCAAGTACCATAATGCTAAAATGTTCTCCACGACTGATTTTGACCTTAGAGGAAACCGAGCTCAATGAGCTCATTAATAAGATGTCTATAGCAATCCTTAGTTGCTACCAATTACCGCAAGCATTTCACCACCGTTTCACCCTAGTATTTATGTGGTCTGTGGTTTCACCATATTTTTAAAAGGTTCTCATACTGTAATAAGGAATTGAAATTCCTTTTTTCGCGAAAGTATTTTTTGACGATGTACTCAGCTGAACGAAAGATCTTCATTTTTATAGATGTGACGTGAAGGAATAGAAGTTATATTAAACAATATGAAAATGTCTATTTTGCAAACTTTTTATTACGATTGTTTGTCTTTATTATAAATTTAAAAATAATTTACTATTGTAGGTGTACAGAGCTGAAGACGTACTGCCGATGCGGCCCGGATTTAAAAGTTTTACGTACTACAGAGAAGAATTCAGAAAAGAGAGATTTGAGGGTGTTTACGGATTAACTACTGCGTGCGTATTGAATATTTCTTATTGTATAACAGATCGTCTATTATAATATAACTTATTTTATTATAGACCGATTGAACCTATTGTTTGTATTGCAGACAGGGTCCACAATGGCGTGACTTCCGAACAAAAGTAAACCCAGCTTTGTTAAAACCTAAACTCGTCAAATTATATGCTCCAGGATTGGACAATATTGCAGAAGAAATGGTGGCTAGGTAATAGACACCTTTCCTATAACTGGTTATAAGAATTGTAGAAAAGTCGAGGCAATTACCGCTATTGACTTGCTAAATAGTACAAACTAGCTTTTTGTTACTTTCAGATTAATAAAACTTTCAGCGGACAAAACATATCTACGAAATAATTTTGATGCTGAGATGAAAAAGTTTGCATTAGAATCTGTAGCCTTAGTATGTCTAGGGGCGCGACTTGGTGCCCTAGAAGATAATTTGACAGAAGATCACCCTGCAGAACAACTAAGAATATGTTCTAAGGAACTTTTTGATTTGGGTTTTAAATACGAATTGATGCCAAAACTTTTACAAAAATTCAACACTCGTATGTTTAATAGATTGATGAAATTATTAGATACGCAGTGGGAGTAAGTATTATCAAGCAATTTTAGTATGTTACAAAAAATCTTAGGTATTTTCCGTAGATTAATGTGACCCGTTATAAAAATAGTTTGTTTACATTTAATCTAACTTTACAGTCTTCTTTCTCTGCTCTCTTACTACTTAGCAATACATTAAGAGAATAGGAAAAAACTACAATAAAATTTATTATCTGCTGTGAGCGTTATACAGCTCATGTATTTTTTTTTAATTAAATAGACTTGCTTTTGGCCACTACCTAACCTTGGAGCAGATAGGCTCTACCATGGAATGAGCTCACCCAGAAGATGCCTATTCAGTCTTAAAGATACTCGGGTTGTATGTGCTCGAAAATACAGTCGCAGGTAGAGAATTCCATTCCTGGGCCGTGCGCATAATAAAAGATGACGAAAAGCGCTTTAAGCTTACACGTAATGTAGCTTACACAGCTTACAGTTCCCACTTGTTTATCATCGATGATAGTTTTGATAATGTTATTTGAATTTTTTAACAACATTTCTTATATTCATTATGTTCCTCTTCTACAGTATAAGTGCAAAGTATATCGAGCAAGCAAAGCAGAGAATCAAAGAGAGAGGTCACAATATTCCAGAAGAAGATAAAAGCGTGCTTGAGAAACTGCTGGCAGTTGACGAGAAAGTCGCCATTATGATGGCGAATGAAATGCTCATGGCTGGGATTGATACAGTAAGTGTGTTGACATGGTATAAGCGAAAAACAGTATATTATATATACTTAGCGTGCTTATTAACGAAACGACATCGATTTTTCCAGGTAGCACTTGCAACAACCGTTTTGCTGTACAGATTGGCTACAAATCCAAAAGTTCAAGACAAGTTGCGTGAAGAAATTCGTTCGGATGATACAAACAAGAGATATCTAAAAGCTTGTCTTAAAGAAAGCTTAAGAATGAATGCTGTTATATCTGCTAATTTACGAATGACCACGAGAGAACACATTGTGGGTGGATATGTAATTCCTAAAGGGGTAAGCAATGCACTTTTAACAAAAATACATCACTATCTCTGATAGATGCATAGAAATGCAAAGAAGGATGGCGAAAGCTGCCCCAATAACGACGAAGAGCCGTTCATGGACTTTGCTAGTATAATTTTGCGTTTTAGTTTATGCCTAGTTATCAATATATTTTTGTATATTTTTAGAAGACGAGAATAAAAAAATTGTAAAATAGTGTATTTTAGAATTTTGGATAGAATTCTAAAGGGGATGTAAGGGGGCACACACCATCACAGCTCTTATTGTCAACCTCACCTGCACGCGGTACATCCTGCAGTAACCGACGAGGCTCTGGCGACCGGTAGTAGGCGGTATAGCCCTTCCCCACATTGGCGCTGTCAAATCTGCTGGCTACCGACGGGCAGCAGCGTCGGTAGTACAAAGGCAGCGCCCTGCGATCTCCAACCCGCATGCCCAGGGTGGAGATTATGGGCAATAACCCCCTTCATGGACGGCACAACCAATCGAAGGCCCCCAGTTCCCGGTCGCCCCGCTATTCCTGGTCACGGTAGCGGCCATGGTACCGGCGGGGTAGGGGGTGCTAAGAATCCCCGGGCTACCGCAGGCTACCAAAAACAACTGACCCAGGCTACGTTTAACGGACGAACTCTTAGGCTTGACGAACACCTTGCACAGTTGGAAGTGGAACTGGAGAACATTAGATGGCATGTTCTGGGGCTGTGTGAAGTCCGAAGAGAGGGAGAGGACACCATAACCCTAGACTCGGGCCATCTACTGTACTTCCGCGAGGGTGATCAAACATCCCAAGGTGGTATAGGATTCCTCGTCAACAGAGTCCTCTCTAACAACGTTGAAGAGATCTCCAGTGTGTCGAACAGGGTAGCGTACCTGATCCTTCGGCTATCAAAAAGGTATAGCCTGAAGATCATTCAGGCCTACGCACCGACCTCGACACATTCGGATGACGATGTAGAAGATATGTACGAGGACATATCGAAAGCCTTACACAACACCACCAAGGCTCACTTCAACGTTGTTATGTTGTTGTGTTAAAGTGGGATTCCCAAATCTTGACGAGTCTCGTGTCGGCCCGCATGGTTATGGAGTAGGGAATCACAGGGGGCAAACGCTAGTCAACTTCCTCGAGCACGAGGGGCTCTTCTTGATGAATTCGTTCTTCAAGAAGAAGCCTCAAAGGAAGTGGACTTGGCGAAGCCCCGACGCTGTGACTAAAAATGAGATCGATTTCATCCTGACGGACAAGAGACACATATTCAGAGATGTCTCAGTGATCAACAGGTTTAGCACCGGATCTGATCACCGACTTGTACGAGGCTCTCTGAATATCGATGTCAAACTTGAAAGAAGCCGCTTGATGAAGTCCACGCTCCGTCCTAATCCACTCCAGATCATGGCGGGCTCCGAGAAGTTCCATGAACTTCTCGAAGCGAGATTCGTCGAGCTGGAACCCACCGAGGACGTTGACGAGGCCCTACAAGGCGTGGTTGGGACGCTGAGAAGCGAGGGCATCAAATTCTGTCAATTGCAGCGTACGGGAAAGAAGTCTAAACTCTCGGATGAGACTCTGCGACTTATGACGAAAAGACGCGATGACATCCAGGCCACTTCGTCAGAGAGGTCATACCTAAACAAGTAGATTGCGAAGATGGTACGGCGTGACCTTCGGAGCTCCAATACACGCCTCATTGAGGAGGCGATAGAGCGAAACCGAGGGTCCAAAGTATTCACTCAGCAGCTTGGAAGGAGCCACCTGACGAAGCTTACAACGCACGATGGCCTAACTGTAACGTCAAGGCAGCAGATACTCGCCGAGATAGAGGACTTCTATGGCTGTTTGTACGCTGTAAATGCTCCTCGGGTCCAGCGTGACAATCACGATTTGAGAGCCACCTTGACGCGCCACTATACCGACGACCTGCCAGAAATCAGTCAAGACGAGATCGTGTTGGCTCTAAAACAGCTTAAAAACGGAAAAGCCCCCGGTGAAGACGGAGTTACTTCGGAGCTTTTGAAGTCTGGAGGAGTTCCTATTATCCAGGAACTCCAGAAGCTCTTTAACTTGGTCATTCACTGCGGGAGAACTCCACGGGCGTGGAACAGGAGTATTGTAGTTCTCTTCTTTAAAAAGGGAGATAAAACTCTACTGAAAAACTACCGACCCATCTCACTCCTGAGTCACGTCTACAAGCTGTTTTCTAGAGTCATCACGAATCGCCTCGCAAGAAGACTCGACGAGTTTCAGCCACCGGAACAGGCCGGGTTTCGGGGAGGATATGGCACCATAGACCACATACACACAGTGAGGCAGATTATACAGAAGTCCGAAGAGTATAATCGGCCCCTGTGTTTAGCTTTCGTGGACTGTGGGAAGGCCTTTGACTCTGTCGAAACCTGGGCTGTCCTGGAATCCTTACAGCGGTGCCAAGTGGACTATCGTTATATACAAGTGTTGAGATGTCTTTACGATGCTGCTACCATGAGTGTCCAAGTACAGGACCAGCAGTCTGAACCTATCCAATTACGCAGAGGGGTGAGACAGGGGGATGTCATATCCCCGAAACTGTTCACCGCTGCATTGGAGGATATGTTTAAGACGCTGGACTGGAAAAGGATGGGCATTAACATAAGCGGCGAGTACATCTCACACTTGCGATTTGCAGATGACATAGTCCTAATGGCAGAATCGCTGGAGGAACTGGATCAGATGCTGAACAGCCTAGCATCCGCCTCGCGGCGGATTGGTCTTGGCATAAACTTTGATAAAACCAAAGTCATGATCAATGACCACATTGATCCGAGACCCATCTGCGTCAATGGCCACCTTCTTGAAGTTGTTTCCGAATACACTTACCTCGGGCAGATTCTGCAGTTAGGTAGAAATAACTTCGAGAAGGAGGCCAGGAGGAGGATTCAGCTTGGCTGGGCAGCGTTTGGGAAGCTCCGTCGAGTCTTTTCGTCACCCATCCCGCAGAGCTTAAAAACAAAGGTTTTCAACCAGTGCGTCCTACCAGTTCTAACGTACGGAGCTGAGTCGTGGACACTCACGATACGGCTAGTCCACCAGTTTAAAGTCGCTCAGCGAGCTATGGAACGAGCTATGCTCGGAGTTTCTCTGAAAGATAAACTCCGTAATGAGGTTATCAGACAGAGAACCAAAGTGATCGACATAGCTCTTCGGATAAGCAAGCTGAAGTGGCAGTGGGCTGGACATATCTGCCGAAGAACCGACAACCGCTGGGGTAAACGAGTTCTTGAGTGGAGACCACGACTTGGCAAACGTAGTGTGGGACGCCCTCCAGCCAGATGGAGTGACGAGAAGATTGCTGGCAGGAAATGGATGCGTCAAGCCGAGAACAGGGCGAAATGGCGTGCATTAGGGGAGGCCTATGTCCAGCAGTGGACTGCAATAGGCTGACGATGATGATGATGATGTATTTTAGAATAGATGCTAGAAAACAGCGCAATTGATTTAGTTCGACCATAGATTAGGTAACGTTCTTGTACGTACGTTTCATTTTAAGTATGATTGAATGTTTACCTACCTGAAGTATTGATTATTGTTTTGTACAGGGTCAAGAGCACGTCAAGCTTGACACTTAAGTTTTAAATCCAACTCTGCCACTTACGATAAGAACGGTCCAAAGTACAAAGTGTCAAGCTTGACGTGCTCTTGACTGTACACAGATAAAAAATTAAAACTATGAAATACTTAATGAAAAAATTATTATATACATACATAAAAAACATTAAACAGTAATGACATAAAGCAAAAAATAAAACACAATCTGACAAAAATATTTAGACAACATTTAAATGAGAGATAATGAAAATTGCAAAGGAACGTTTTGACAAGAGACCTCTTGCCAATGTCACATTGATATTGAGAACAGTGTGACCGCTTATGGCAGATTTCTGCTATTTGGGCAGATTTAATTTTTATTCATTTTCTTTGCAGCAGAACATAACAAGTTATATTTAATCTCGCAGAGTTTGGCAGATTTGGGAATATTCGGGAAGTTCTTTATTATTTTAGGGAACAAACTGAAAACTGTTGTTTTCTACTATTACGAACATACATCTGAACCGAAATACAGGCCAAAGTTATAAAAATAACCTATATTAACTTTATGTCCCCAGCTTCTCCAAGATGTACTCAAGTAGCTTTTTTGATGCTTTGATAATGAATCACAAGTATTGATAGGTCTCCTTAATGCACGTCGTCATTAACATGGGGTCACAAAATCCACGGGATGTCGCCATCCTTCTTTCAGAGTAAGCATATTTATGCTTTGGGTAATAGTTAACATATTTCTATTTTTCACCGACTATAAAACAATTTTGGACACTGAAAGTTCAGTAAACATAATTCGTGTAACACGGGAATCTCGCCATTTTGACGCGTATTAACGCCATCGGGCGAGATTGTAAAGAACCCGAACTGTAGTCCCGCACACAGCCTTTGCAATTTGCTTAATGGAGATTATAGGTTCCCAATAAGTAATAAATAACTTGGTAACAGCACTGTTGTTATTTCCTCTTCATAGCCATGGAATCTAAGGAACGGTGTTCATAAATATCCAGCATTTTTGTGTTTTAATGTCGCAGGTTGATGTAATTGCACCAAACGAATACTTATCACGTTTAGACAAGTACTATCCTCGAGCATCTGAATTTATCCCAGAAAGATGGCTTACAGAGAAGACTGATCCTTTGTACTACGGGAACGCTCATCCTATGATCACACAACCGTTTGGATTTGGTATAAGAAGCTGTATTGGACGACGTATAGCAGAATTAGAGATTGAAATATTTGTGCAAAGATTGATAAATGATCTCAAAGTCAGTTGGGACGGACCACCTATGAAAATTGTAACTAATGTCATGAACAACATTAAGAAACCGTATTGTTTTAAATTTGAGCAGGTTAAGTAGTTAAGTTTTAAAAATAAAGGACTATTTTCAGAAATTACGAAGCCTTTTATTTTTTTTTTATTTGCCCTAATAATTAATAGAAAAACAACATTATGACATAAACCAATAGGTGCTAATAGTCTATGATATAATAAAATCTACAGAACTTAATCAATTAAAAACTTTATGTTAATATCAATTTGTAGCAGGATTAAGAATATGAAATGCTATTTATATATTATTATAACTATTATTCAACTAGTAAGCCATTCATTCAATCATTACTCAATCAATTCTGATCGATAGTTGTACACAACTGCACTTTTCGCATTTCGCCCTAGCGAGAAGACGTACGTCATATTTTAAGTATGGCTGATTTACCATTTTATTCCAATTTTAAAAAACACAGACATGTGTTTTTAGAAAATGCATTAATTACGTTGTTAAAATAAATAAAAACACAAGGAATCTTACACCACACACGCCTAACTGAGCAAAAATATTTATATTATTGCTACAGTAGATGGAGCAAGCATGGCCCGAAGAGTAGAGCGTTCCGCGCGGGCTTGTCTCGGTCCGCGTCGAACGGGTCGTCTGTGCGAATACACGTAGGGAGAAAAATCGCGGGAGAAGAGATTAGTGTCGTTGCCGCTCGTCCTGTCCTCCACAGCTGAATTTGGGCGATTGACCCGTGTGGTGGGCGCTCCAAGACTCTCTTCGGAAAGACAACGCGGATGGGCGTAAGATGCATCTATAGCCCCTTTACCACTAATGGCGCATTTATGCATCTACTTCGCCTCGTCGAAGGCGACGCACCCAGTCGTTTCGGTTGACTTCGGCTGCAAACTACTGCTATCAGACGACTCACTAGTTACAGCATCGGTCGCCTGATAAGTTGGTGTAAATGCACCAACGTTAATGACTACTATTTCTATTATAACAATGAAACTACCAAAGGATTTAAAGCAAGATTTGGCTGTATGTTTTAAACGTCTGCCTTTTCCTTAGCAGAAAGAATTTAAAAACAACCATGTCAATTCATCAGTTCTTTGTTCATTTTACTCACTCACTCATTCAATTGTTCAATTCAATTCTTAATCGGTTGCTGCTATGGCGTTTGTCGTATTTTTTGTTTGGTAGTTGTTTAAATTATTTTTTATCTTCATACACGCGTTTTGCAATAAATTCAGTGCAATTAAAAGTGTTACTTCTATGTTTACTTAATCAAATACAGATTTAAAACTATTGTTGGTGTCATAAAACTACTTTATATTTATTTTGATCACTCGCGCCCTACCAAACTTCGTGTTGTTGGATTTCGTAAGGTGTGTATAATTATCGATTTACTCGTGAAGTTTACGTGTTGTTGAGACAGAAACTTTGATTAGTTTGTATGTTGTATAATTTAGATATTTTTAATGATTAAAAAATATTAGGATTTATTTATTGATCTTTGGTTACACCATGAGCTTGAGAAAATAACAAAGCGTTATGAAACTATGTAATGTAAAAAAACGAACATACTAAATTGTGTAAAAAGTGTAACCACAAAAATCCGCTATTTTTTCTCGAATTAAGTTTTCAAAAAAGAATTATTAAAAAAGTAAAAAACCCCTAACCTTAATGATATTTTTATGTTGGTAAATATAATAAAAAAGTTACCACGTCTTCTAATCAAAGGTTACATATTTACACTGGTTCCTAAACAATATGAAATTTATTAATTGTTTCAAGCTAAAGGAAATATGACCAAATCTTAAATCCTATATTATTAAATAATAACAACAACTTATTCAATCATCGATAATAACCATAATTTTGACATTGTTTTTTTAATAATGCAATTAAACAATTGAACATATTATTGTCTGTGAGTTGATAATTCATTGTAACTATTTAATTGTTGTATTTATTTCATCTCACAAGTCCAAGTCTCTAATTCAGCAATTTATCACTTGACGCTGCCGTATCAATTGCTTGCAAGGAACAAATAATACAGATTCCTGATATATACCTACTTCTATCTATGGCTTTTCGGAATAGTGGCCTAAGAAAAACATTAATGCAAAATTGATGTAAAACATCCAAGGCATATCTCGATACCAGCACTTAATGATTTCAATTAATTAGTATACCTTTGTCAAGATGCGGGTGAATGGGCACTGTCTATGCATTGATGTACTCCTCAACACTAGCCTCACTTACCATCAAGCTCCGTATCTTTCTATGTTAGTTTTGATTATAGTGACCCTCCCTACCTACCCTTTGGGCATACGAGAAGGGCACTATGACCTGTGCACGAACAGGAACCTTACAAGTTCAGGTTCTGACCCCAGATCAGCCAGTGTACAAGGTTGTCACTTGACTTCATTCGGTTTTTCGAGAGGCTAGTGCCTCGGGTGAGCTGCCCCAGTTTGCACGTACAGTACCCTTCCTATTTTCCAAATAGGTACGAGGGCTTTAGGCACGGTCATTTCCCGTTGCGCATTGCACAACTAGTGGTTACCATCAGACGAGATTGTATTTACATGATTGTTTATTTATAAATCAGGCAAGGCAGTCACGCAAATCTTGCGATTTAAAGCTCTGAGTGGCACTGCAACTGTTATAGACAGGCGTGTCGCTTAACATCAGGTGCACGACGTGTTCGTCTTGTGTATCATAAAAAAAAACTGCTATTTTTTATGTACCATGTAAGCGAGACGCCTGTCCAAAACAGTTGCAATGTGTCTCAGAGCTTCAACTCACAAAGATTTGAGAGACACTGCCACTGCGCCCGTCACGCTGAGACTCGTGTTGACAAGTTCCACGTGCCTGTAATTTAATTTTAAATCGACCTGTGCAATTCACATATCATATTATTATGTTTTATTCACTTACGACCTAAAATTGTATAACTACATCTATCATCTATATAATTGTACAACTACAGCTAATACTTCTAACTTTCATGTTAGACTTACGAAATAAAATTTAGAATATTTCACATGTAACGTTTTCCGTGTCGCGTGCGTAATTAAGGCCAATTGTAGATGGCGTAAACGTACATTTTCGGCGGCAAAACTGAGATGTGGCTAGATTAGAATGATTTCTTTTTACTTTAACACATTTGCACTAAACTTAAGATAAAGTCCCGAACACAGTGTCTTCGACGACAGAGACACCTCAACAGGGCATCAGTATTATATGTATAAATTAAATAAATATTAGACAACATCCCAACAAACACATTAAATAGTCAACACAATTAAAGTAGATGTCATGTGTGTGGCTGTGGCGTATCTAAAAGGATCCACTCAGCTAATCTCACCGCCTAGACAAGGCTGCGACAGTACCACAAACACGCAGACCTGAGACAATATAGAAAAGTTAGTTTTTTACATTGACCCGGCCGGGGATCGAACCCGGCACTTTAGAAATGGTGACACCATGAAAACCCGTTTGCAAACCACTCGACCACGGAAGTCTTCAAAATCGTATTGAATAATCGTGCTACGAGTCATGGCAACATAATCGTTTTGTGGCGGTGCGTTTTATTTATTAATTTTTAAGGGATAACAAACAATTGTACAGGTACAATCAACAACATTATCAACAAATTACTATTAAAATTTTAATTTTAGTGTGTGATGGGTAAGGCAATACTAAAACAAATAAAAGGTGAACAATAAATAAATTAGCTCAGAGTAATGTCGCTGATGGCTTTGACAGCGTGCGCCACCAGATAAATGGGCGATCTGAAAACTCTTTACTAAACCCGTTTAATAAACCAGGAAATTGGTTTCATAGAGATCAATGCTGATTATGAATTTCTACTTAAAACATGCGGGATGCACTAACTCACAAAGCAGTCACTATATACCTCATTATATACCTACTTATAAATAAGAATGCTAAACCGAGACGGTATAGTTTCTGGGCACTTTGCTATTAAAACCAAGCATAGTGATGAAATGACAAGCACATAGAACTTGTCAACTTATGTCTCAGGGTGACGGGCGCAGTGGCAGTGTCCCTAAGATCTTTGCGATTTTCTGTTATGGATAGGCGTGTCGCTTACCAGGCCCACGACTTGCTCGTCCCGCCACTTGGTATTATATTAAAAAAAATATAGATCCACCAATTAAAAGGACATAAGGTGAAACATAACTATTACCACAATGGTCTATCAAAGTTATTATACCCTTCCTTAAATTTTTACCTAAAACAGTTGATTAGGATCGAGATACTTAAGGTGGTCGTAAATCGAAACGTGTTGCGTCCATAACAAACTGCTGAAGCACGAAGCTAATAAAGTTTGATATTGATTTACGCGCCTTTCGTCGTGATATTAATTGTGCTATTAATTGTCACGTGTGTTATTTATTTATCTTTTTTCCTTTTTTATGTATCTTAATTTTATAAAATACATATCCAAGTCTATTTAATAATATGAATGTATTTTACAGTGTAGAGTGAAGAAAGTTCTTTGTAAGAAATTGTAATTTTAACGTTATTAAGACAATATTTTGTCTTTTTTTAAATTACCTGTAATGTTTTCTTTTATATTAATTATTATTGTTTAAATTAGTGACTATCTTATCCCTTGACGTTGTATTTTAAATTGACGTTGATAATCTGATGTGAATTATTCTATTCTACTATATAGTAGTCATAATAATAAACATTTATTCGTACCTGAATCTATGTCTAATCAGGAACAAATGTATAAACTACGTTAGCAAGTACATTATTACATCCCTGGTGTTTTGTAGGAAGAGTGTAAGCAATTTTCAAAAAAAATCATGGCAGCATGTTGTAGGCTTTAAAGACTGTTTTAAAATATTTGCATCCTGTTTTAAATTAAATTTTAATACTTAGGGTCGTATTCCAGAACTCTACTCAATATTCAAGTCAGGACTTGAGTATTGCAGTGAGCACTGAAAATCATACTCAAGTCCTTGCCATTAGGGTCGTATTTCCAGTGCTTGAAATCATACTGAAGTCTGCTCAAGTCCTGACTTGAGCATTGAGTAGAGTTCTGGCATACGACCCTTAGACTTAATTAAAACCAAAATTATATTTTAAAACAAGACATAACTATTGTAAAACAGTCGTTAAAACCTAAGACATGCTCTCCTGAAAAAAAAATTGAAATGTCGCCAGCGCCCTTTTTTTCAAAACACCGACGACATATTTATTTGGCAGCTCATTTTTATTATTTTACCCTATATATATTGAGTTTATCACACAATAAATGCGATTAAAATTCTGCGATCTCTTATACGATTTCATTTTACGGTTTTTAATTGCCGTGTAGGTATTTTAATGGCTACGTTTGGTTTAAACCAAGTATAGGGTATCACCCTGATAACAGAAAATTTTAACTAGCATGTCGGGCTTTTCAATAATTCATCCATTCTTTCTCTTTTAAGAAATGTTATGTGGGATATGCTATTGGTTTTCACCATAAAATCTACAGTTCCTTGACACGAAAACGTAATGAGCTCCCTTCCCTTACACATCGTAGTCTGTACTATCTCTGACTTCCTTTTATTACGCTAGAGAAAGTTGTTCATAGCTTAAAACGTGTGTTATCAGATTCACGCACACGTTATTAATTTTGCGAGCGAACATTTAACAACAATTTATCTCGAACACAATCGTAGTTAAGCGTGTGTCCTATCTTGATCGTGTTATAATTCGAGAGCCTAAAATCATAACCTTAATGTTATTGATAGTTTCTTTCTATAACTCTCCCGAAATGAAATGCTTAATTATTATTGATACAAACGATTCGACTAGTCTTTAACCAGCGTCTATCGCCTCAACGTGGCTAGGTTCGAATTAATAATAATTAAAAAAAACTAGTGAATAAAAAAAAACTAGTGGAGTACTTTCACAAAAAATAGATAAATGTCATGGTAGTAAAACATAACATATCACGGTATTCAATAAAAAAATAGCGTTTGAGTTTGGAGTTGAAGCTGAAGATCTATTTTTTTTTCGAAAGTACAAGGCTCTTACAATTCTCTCAGATGACTGTTGGATGTAGCGGAGCTGTGGCGACCTAAACGATACCAAATACCTTGAGAAATGAAACTTTTTTCCGGACCTAAATAGCTTATATCTGTTTTTTCAAACACACCAACGTTTCGGGTCCTTTAAAGGCCAGTGGCCACGGCTAACTGAGATGGTAAAGTCATCATCCAGTAATGTCTAATATTAATGCAAACCACCCTATTTTTTACTATAATAATAATAATAACGCACACACTCAACATATCCCTAGGCAATTAGGGAAAACCCTGTGTCGCGGGTGCCATGCACACACACATAGACAACCACAAATTACACCCAAACTCACGATAGAAATTAATGTAGGCCATGCAAATATTTCTCCCGGCCCGGGAATCGAACCTGGGCCCTCTGCGTGGCAGTCTGGCATGGTATGGTCTGGTTTTTCGAATGTCTTTTACTGTACAGTGCGTGCTATACGTCCGTCTGGAAAACATCATCTCTAAAATTAACCAGTCGCTTTTATAATCGAGGTATGACATTTTTTTCCTTAAACGGTAGGCAATAAAACCTAAAATTGGTTCCACCTGGTATATTATTTCAAGATTACGCCATAACATACGCAATATTAGACATGACTACGACAATTACACTGCGGCGAGAGGCAACATGTGTTTTAAATGAACACTGCAATTCAATTTTACATTAAGAGAATATGAAAAATTCCTCACGAAAGAAAAACATCTAAAATTATATTGTTTGTGTAATTTACATTCTTGAAATAAAATAATTTGTAAAACATACGTCTGTTTTAAAGGTAAAAACTACATAAAGACAGAAAACAGAAACAGAAAGTCTTTAACTTGTATAGTTATGGTAAGAAAATTACTATCTTTCTGCACGTGAAACTCAATAACGAAAAAGCTATAAACTTAATAAGAGTTTTATCTACAGAAAAATGGTGAATTTCCTACAACTGGTACATAATTTGGAGATTTTTTTTGTGGAAAATGGCACTTATGTGATTTTACTTTTAAGCAGACGATTTACGCTACATATTATGTAGCGTAAATTGGGCAGTTCTTGGAAAAAAATTAAAATAAGGTAATTAATTAACAACTTTTGTAACAATAGTGAAAAATAGAGTAGTTTGCATTAATATTAGACATAACTGGTTAATATTATAAAATAGGCGCTTTGTCGTCTAGTTGCGGATACCAGCCCGTTGCACCAAGTACCAAGTAACTGGTTGATGACTTTACTATTGACTGTTCGCCAGTGAACATGCGACCTGTAAAGGGCCCGAAACGATGGTTTGTTTTATAAATCGAAACGCGATTTATATCCGAAAAAATTGTTACATTTCTACAATCGCGAAACGCTGTTCGATAATTTTTATTTATTTAATTCAATGTGAAATCCTAATTATGGGAAGAGTATTTCATGTCTTTCCAATAATTTAATTGTTTCTTCAAGAGAATATAGCTAGGTACAAATTGTTTCAAGTCGCTATTACCTACATTTGTTACATTGCCGAGGTGTGGATAATTGCAAGGCCGTTTTGTTACTTGTAATTTGGATCATTTATCGAGCTCCACTTGTAGAAACTACGTGACCTTACTCAATTTTTGTTTTCCTTACATATTAATCAACGTATAAATTAAAAACTTCTTTACTGCCAGCTCGACCAGCCGGTCGAGCGCCAGGTATGGCGCATCTAAACACATCATAATTGAAACTCAACCATGTATAGGGCTTGTTATAAATAAGAGCAGAAAGAGCGTGGTGGAACAGTGGTGGAAAAACGATCGTATATATATAATATATAAGTATTTATACATGTATATGTGTAGCACTTTGGTAGCATGGCTTACTGGCGATCGCTCGTCTTTTGTACGAATCTTACGTAAATCAGCGCTGTTTGACTTTTCACGGTGTACAGCATTTCTGCTGATGCAAGTAGGTACAATAAATAACGCAAACACTCATAGCCCCGCACTAGAGAAACCCTGTATCGCGGGTGCCATGACACACACATGGACAATCACAAATTACACCCAAATTCACGAGAGAAACTAATGTAGGCCATACAAATATTTCTTCCTGCCCGGGAATCGAACCCGGGACCTCAGCGTGGCAGACCAGCATTGTAATCATTCGGCCGCGGAGGCAGTAACGTATAATTATGTGTTTTTATATCAATGTATACTACGGGCTCTCGTGTCATACCCTGTAAAGTGATTGTAAATGTTTGTATCTGCTTGTATTTACTGCTGAATAAATGTTTTATCTATCTATTTTTGTAACACAATTTATAATTATTTAGATCATGCTTTAGAAATGTGATTCTAAACATATCTCCTATACATTTTTCTAAAAATACATGACTATAATAGGTGAAGCTAGTCGGGGTCATCGTGTACCGTGTTGGTGTAATATAGAAATAATTGAGTCGTTAGTTGGTAGATGACTGATTGTAATATAGTTGCTAAACTTAATTATACGTGCTTCTTTGTGCTATCATACTGTTTCATCATTTCTTTGCTAGCAGTAAGATGTGCCTAAACGTCGGAAGGGGAATTTGGCACGTCTAGTGACTGCTACCAATACATTTGTGATACCACTCTGCCGCCGTCAGTTGAAAGGGCGCTTTTGACAAAAACTCAAAAGAAATTAAATTAAAAAATATCTACTTTTCTCTTGCGGTAACTTTATACCTTATCCACTTAGGAATAAACTGTTTACATAACATTTTTTTTGAAAAAAATGTTACATACATGCGCCCTTTCAACTAAAGTACTGCCACCTTGCCTATTTCAGCCGCCGAGCTGTAATATAAGCATTACTTCGTTTCGGTTTTGAAGGGCCTGTAATTTCACCAGCACCTGTAGAGCTAGCACGACAGGCCGCGACTTGCGCGAGACCGACATAAAGTGCGGGATCTCTATCCGAAAATAGCAGTATCTCGCGTTTTATGTCGCTCTCGCGCAAGTCGCGCCCTTTCGATACTAGCCCTACTGGTGAAATTACAGGCACGTGGGACTTGTCAACTTATGTCTCAAGGCGCAGTGGCAGTGCTCTTCAAATCTTTGTGATTTAAAGCTCTGGGTGGCACTGCAAATGGACAGGCGTGTCGCTTTCCTCCAGGCGCACGAGTTGGTATCATTAAAAAAAATTGCTATAATTTTAGAAAGTGCAGCACGCGACAGTCATTTGTTTTTTTATAAATAATCCGTTCAAGAAGGAGTGGCCGAATTTCACTTACGAGATCATGATCCCACAGTATTGTCTCTAAATTTGGTTTGATAGCTGGGACGTCAATAAAAGGCGCGAGTTGACAACTGACTGGTTTATTATACAAAACGTCGAAATACCTTCAACCATTTATAATAATGTAACTACCGATCGTCACATCTCTCCTCGGTAAATAGGAAACTACATTACATACAATACTTATTCTAAAAAGTGCATAACTTTGCGCTTTGCTCGCTCAAATGCACGCAGTGCGCGAGCAGTCGTGCCCATCGGCGGGGATGCTGGGAGCGCTTGCCCCGGGAGTGACTCTGCTGCATTTTCGAATGCTTGCTCCACACGAGGGGTGAGCGTCTCCGGTAACTCCTCGAAAGATTGGCTCTCAGCGTCCCCACCGGTGTGCGCGTCCTTCAAGGTGTCCCCTTCAGTCTCCCGATTGACCCCGAGGTCACCACTAAGTTCTGGCGTTATAACCGCCGCCGCCGGCCCGGTAGCCGTTCGTGTTAGAGAATATCTGTTTCTATCGCCGGCTGGCACAATTTGGTCAGCGTGTCTGCGCCACTCTACGCCCTTCCCTACATCGACTCTATACGAAATAGGTCCCGTTATTTTAGTCACTTTTCCTTCGGCCCACTTGTCCCCCCTCGAAGTGTAGTCGCGAGTCATCACCGAGTCCCCCACTCGGAATTGCCGGTGAGTACCCCCCGCGTGTGCAACTTGTCGCTCCTGCGCGGCCCGCACGACTGCCGCGACGTCCGGGCGCAGAGCGTCCAGACGACTACGTAGTCGTCGTCCTTGCAAAGCAACTGCCGGCGACACCCCGGTCGTGGCGTGTACACAGTTGCGATATTGGAATAAAAATTTCTGTAACGCCATAGTGACTTCTTCCCCTTCATGCTTAGCTCTTTTAATTGCCTTTTTTACAGTTTTAACTGCGTTTTCCGCAGCACCGTTCCCTTGGGGTCTATAGGGGGCTGAAGTGACATGTTTAATGCAATTCATCTCACAATATGACTTAAATTCTTGAGAAAAGAAAGGCGGTCCGTTATCGGTGACGAGCTGGGATGGCAAACCGAATCGTGCAAAGATACTCCTAAATACTTTAATAGTAGCACCCGCGTCCGCACGTTGCATCGCTATGGCCTCTATCCACTTCGAGTGAGCGTCTACTATGATTAGATAGCGCGTCCCAAAACAGTCGGCAAAATCGGCATGAATACGTTGCCACGGGTGCAATGGGAACTCCCACGGGTGGAGTCGAGCGTGTGGGGGCGCGTCACGCACTGTCCGACATGCCTCGCAAGCTCGACCCACCTGTTCTAAATCAAAATCTAAACTTGGCCAATAGACGTAGCTGCGTGACAAGCTCTTCATTTTATTAATACCTAAGTGCCCGTCATGAATATCTGCTAAAATTTGTTTTTGCAGGGTCGGCGGTATTACAATTCTATATTTGTAAATTAAGCAACCTTGATTAGCTATTAAATCTAGTTTCCTCGCAAAGTACGGCCTTTCCTCATCACTGTTCGGTCCCGATAACGGCCACCCAAAAAGTACATAACCTTTAATTCTACTTAACACAGGGTCCCTTTCCGTTTCTTTAGCCACCTCTTTGAAAGAGATGGGCATGGCCTCTTCTACCACATTTAAATAATCTGCCACATTTTCTGAAGCCCAACCCTCCTGAGCGAGCGGAAGTCGCGACAAGGCGTCGGCAGGACCGTTGTCCGCCGATCGGACAAACTCGATATCAAAATCATACGCAGCTAGACGCGCCGCCCACCGTTGTAAGCGACTAGCGGCCGTCTGTGGGATGCCTCCTTTTTTTCCAAAAATGTGTGTCAATGGCTGGTGGTCGGTGCGCAACATGAACCGTCTACCGAACAAATATTGATGGTGCTTCGTAACTCCGAATAAGATAGCGAGTGCCTCTTTATCAAGTTGACTGTAATTTCGCTCGGGCGCGCTGAGTGTGCGAGAAACACAACTGACAGGACGTTCGCTACCATCTGAATACCGGTGCGCCAGTACTGCACCCAACCCATACGCACTGCTGTCCACCGACAACACCAGCTCGCGCCCCTCTTCATAATGTGCCAGTACGCGCTCGCTCAAAAGGGTTCGCTTCGCTTCTGCGAAAGCGTGTTCACAATTGGAGTCCCATTTCCAGCAGACGTGCTTTCTTAAAAGATTATGTAACGGGGATAACAATGTGCTTAAATTTTGTATAAAATGTCCATAATAATTTAGCATACCCAAGAAACTTTTTAGTTGCGATATGTTCTCTGGGGTGGGCGCCCTGGAAATGGCCTCCAGTTTACTGGGGTCCGGCCGCAAACCGTCCTTATCAATAATAAAACCCAGGTAATTGACCCTATCCTGTAAAAATCTACATTTACTTAACTTAATAGTTAGTCCCATATCACGCAACCTTCCGAGTACAGCTCTTAAATTTTTTGCATGTTCTTTTTTATTGACACCCGTTACGCAAATATCGTCCAAAAACACTACACAGCCCGACACTCCCCGTAAGGTCTCCTCCATTATCTTTTGGAATTTTTCCGGTACGCATGACAACCCATATGGTGTGCGGCGGTACGCAAACGTGCCCATATGTGTAGTTATTGCGGTATAGGGCTGACTATCATCCGTTATAAGGCATTGTTCATAAGCATGCCTTAGGTCGATTTTTGTAAATTTTTCCCCGCCACTAAGGTTTGCAAATAACTCGTCTATGCGAGGCAACGGATAATAATCACGCTTTAATTTTGGGTTTATGGTGGTCTTATAATCACCGCATATGCGTATGTCCCCATTTTTCTTTACAACTGGTACTATTGGGGTTCCGTAATCTGAATAATCTACGCGATAAATGGAGCCATCCTCCTCGAGACGCAGCAACTCCCGCTCGACGCGTGCGCGCAGCGCTAGCGGCACCGGTCGCGCTCGCACGTATATCGGTTCGTTATCCGTTAGCTGAAGTCGGATCGGCCGCTTACATGTACCTATTTTATCAGTAAATACTTCCGGATATTCCGCACACAATCTGCTCACGAATCCATTCTCCGTTATTTCATTGAGGTTAATTTGTGTAATTTTCAGGGCGCGCATCCATTCCCTTCCGAGTAAGGGCCGTGCTCCGCCTCGGATGACATATAACCGCAATGAATTTCTAAGGACGTCGCCTAAACGAACGTCCACCTCGATGTAACCGAGAGAATCGATCCGTGTGCCCGAATAACCACGTAACATTAAATTATCTACCCTAATCTTTTTATGATTAAACATGCGCGAGTACATCTCATCGCTGATAGCCGAAATTTTACTTCCCGTGTCCATCTCGCACTCGATCATCACATCGTCTACGGTCAATTTAACAAAATAAGGTCGGTTACCTTCCGCCGTCACTTCGATGTTGAACATACCGTCGTCCGAGTCGTCGCTTACGTAATTTTGCCGGCCGCCACTACCGCGCACTCTTTTGCACATCACTTTCAGATGACCTTTTTGGCCGCACTCGTCACAACTGTAGTTTTTAAACCGACACTTATCCGCGGCGTGCGGCTTGCCACAGCGCCAGCAGGCCCGAGCGCGAGCGCCGTCCGCCGCCGCCGACGCGCCTCCCGCGCCCGGCCCGCTGGCGTCCGCCGCGCCCCCCCGCGCCGTCCGCCGGGGCCGGGCCTCGCGCTGGCCGCGCGCGTAGTGCAGGCCCTCGCCCGCCTCGCCACTCGCCGCGCCCGCCGAGTCCGTTGTTGTCGATGCTCCCGCGGTGCCGCTCACCTCTGCGTGTTTCTCTGCGGCCTCCAGAGCCAGAGCCAACTCCACCGCCTCCTTGTACTTGATGCTCTTTTCTGCGAATATTCGAGACCTCATGACGTCACTCGCCAGACCCGACACGAACTGGTCTCTCAAATTCTCCTCAAGCGTGGAGCACTGGCTGCACTTTCCGAAATTGCAGGTGGTCGCGAGGTGCTTCAACTCCTGTAGGTATTTCGCGAGCGACTCGCCCGGGCGTTGCCGACGTAATCGAAACACGTGCCGCTCGGCGATCTCGGAGCGCTGTGGCTCCAAGTGCTCTGTCACTAATTTCACTAATTCGTCAAATTTCTTGTCCTCCGGAAACGTTGGTGCACACAAATCGCACATCAACGCGTATGTGGCTTCTCCAACGACGGTTATTAACAATGATACCTTCATGTCGTTATCTATTTCATTTAAGCGAATATATTGATTCACTCGACGAATATACGCCGGCCACTGTTTTGAATCTAGGTTAAATGCTTCAATTTTTCCGATAGGCATGTTATTAAGCAATTTGCACGCGTTTTGTAGACGAATTAACACGAATTAACAAAAATTAAACGAAAATCCCGATCTCGGCGCCAGTGGGACGTCAATAAAAGGCGCGAGTTGACAACTGACTGGTTTATTATACAAAACGTCGAAATACCTTCAACCATTTATAATAATGTAACTACCGATCGTCACAATAGCCACTTAGCACATTGCGTAGGCGCATAGCTGTTTGCCTGGTGATTCATTGTGTCAAGTCTGTTGGCGCCATGACGGATATACTTTCTACATAAACGCACCTTTGCGTTATTTACGAAGCATTACGTAGCTTACATTTGTTTGTAGCAAAGTGATTTATGAGTATCGACTTTGTTGTTAAATTTAAAAAGGTTAAATTGCATTACAGAAAACTTTCTCAAGAATTTTATACTGTAATTTATAGGGTTCTTATGTTTTCGCGATTACTACACGTTGGAATGGAAACTACTTTTTCGAATCTAAAATCGCGCATGTATTTTTTCAAATAAATTAACGTAATCGGGCTTTTTACAGGTTATATACAAGGGTGACCGCCCAGTCAAATGCAGAAACCGTTTGATACAGGACTATAAATTATTTTTACCGTTTTTTACAGCCGTGGTACTTTAATAGTTTGACCTGTCGCCTCTTAAACAGAGGATCGTGGGTTCGAATCTGGGCTTGCATCTCTGAGTTTTTCGGAATTTATGTGCGAAATTTACCGTGAGCTTTTCGGTCAAGGAAAACATCGTGAATAAACTTATTCAATTCAATATGCTTATTTGCATTCCACAACACCTTGTATAAGTGTTATATAGTACAAAGATCACATCATGGACCCTCTCGGACACAACAACTTTTTGCTTTTTTCATTTTTCAGTACATCAGGCAGTTTATTATATTAGGGGTTAAAGTATGAAATTGCCGTTTTATTGCAATA